CACGTACTTCATTCTATTAACAATATTTAAATAATATACATCTTCTTCTTGTTTAAATAATAAACAATGATAAAATGAATTAAAAGAATAATAAATAAAATAGAAGGACAAATAATAAACAAATGATAATCAATTTGATATTCTTTATTTGATTATTTATTGTTTCTTTATTCATTTCTTTATTTCTTTTATAAACTATTATTATCTCTTATTCGTTCATTACATTATTCCAATTACATCAAAATAAAACATCAATTAAGAATCATTCATTTAATAAAATGTTTGAAAATGTTTTATTAATTTTGTAATTTCATCACTTTCTTTAGATAAATCAATACTAACAATTAAATCTCCTTTAACATCACTTCCAACAACAGAAGCACTTAACTCCATCATTCCATTCTGATTAACTTTAATTGTAAAGTCAATTATTTGTTCTCCAGCTTTTCCATTAGGAATTCCATCAATATGAAGTGTAGTAATGTATTCCATTTCAGGAGAGTTGACATATTTACCAAATCCTTTATAAACATTAAATTGTATTGTTGTTTGATTATCGTAGGTTGTGTAATACCTTTTTGTTATTCCCTTTGTAGGAAGTGTTTCTCCATCTTCAATAAGTATTTCAAATTTTTCTCCTTCTAATTCTATTCCAATTGGTGTTGGAACAATATCATATATAACTTCAGGACTAATGCGATTTTCTTGTTTTAAATATGCTAAATATGCAGCTCGTTTTACAACAGCATTAAGTGGATTAAACTTCTTATCAGAAAATGTTTGTATATCAAATAACTTAGCAACCTCTTCTCTAATTCTTGGCATTTTACATGTTCCACCATTTAATATTACTAATTGGACATTTCCTCTTTTATATCCTTTTTTTTGAGTAACTTGTTTTATTTTATTAATAAATTCTTCATATATTCCTCTTTTTTCACATTCTTCTTCAAATTCTTTTCTTGTAATAGTAGGATCAATATCATATTTATCATCACAACCATCAGATAATAAATCCAAATCTAGTTCAGTATTATATTCATCATCATAATCATCAGATAATAATAATTCTAAATTTAATTCAATATCAGTTTTATCACTTAATTCAATTTTAATTCTTTCTGATTCTTTCTTTAATCTAATTATTTTCTTGTTGAATATTATTGTTTCTTTTTGAGTCATTCCTCGTTTCTGTTTATAATATCCTGGAATATCTTCTTCTATTCTTTTTTTAATGATATCAGTCATTACATTATCAAATTCGTTTCCTCCTAAATTTTGATTTCCTCCAGATGATTCGATAATAACACGATCATTTACTATTTACAACATGTTACATCTAGTGTTCCTCCAAAATCAATTACTACAATTTTATCTCCTTTTTTTAATAAATTTGGATATTCTCTTTTGTATTCAATAATAGCCGCTATTGGTTCATCTTCAATTGAAACATTCTTAATTCCTGCTAATTTACACGCTAATAATGTTGCATCTCTTTGTTTATCATTAAAATCAACTGGAACAGTAACAACAACATTTGATATTGGATGATTACCAAGTTTTTCTTGTGCAATTTCATATAAATATTTTAATATCATTCCACTAATCTCTTCTGGTTCAAATCCTTCACTTTCTTGAGTTAATGGATTATAACATTCAATATAAGCAATTCCATTATCTCTGCCTTTTACTTCAAATGGATAATCTTCATAATCAACATCATCTTCATCTCTTCCTATAATCCTCATATTATCATAAATAATACATTTCGTATT